CTAAATCTGTAGCACACCAGATTTACTAGCTCCGGCGAACTGAAACAGAATCAAGAATTGAGCACTAAAAAAAATAAATAAATATTATTATTATTATTATTATTTTTTTCTTCTTCTTCTTCTTCCTTTCTTTTCTCTCTTTCTTTTTCCGTTCTTTGCCTTGTTCACTTTCTATTTTTTTCTCTTCTTTCGTATCAGCTCACTTCTCTTTTCTGTGTCAAATCCCGCAAGTGAACCGAGAAGAATATATAGATCATGAAATCTCCACTAATATGTTAATAGGTTGCATTTAAAAACTTCCTGCCCAAGTATTTAATAATACTCCAACATAAGTTGACTAACACCAACTCTATGACAAAAGCAGGCCAATAATACATTAATTAGTTGAGCAAAACCAATTAATATCATTTTGGCCACCAAAAGTGTCGGGTTTTGAAAATGGCATTAAGATCACCAAATGGTACCCACCCAATAAAAAATTTACAGTCACAAAATATTTTAACAATATTTTAACAATCCCCCACATGAGTGTAAATTAATATAATATACTATGTGCTCAATCTTCACAAAACTCTATTGCATCAGAAAAGGTAGCTTTTGACTTTGAACCTTTCTTAGTAAACATCATCGGATGCACTGGCGGCCGAGTGGACATAATGCCTTGAACTATTCCTCCATAGTGTACACCGAGAAAATGACATTCACACAATAGAGTCTTAACTCCATTCCGTTCTAACGTTGTGTCCGTTTTGGCCATGGACAACACAATGGATTCATAAGTGTTTACATTTGAAGCGGCCCACACTTCACACTTATATAGGTGACCTCCCTATCAAGAGTATCCTGTAATACTCCACCTTTACAAGGTTAGGGATTCATTAAAAGTCCATATGACTTACCCTCACCACAATCAACAGGTAATCTTGCACTTGGTTGCTCTAGGGAATAGCTTTGGACATTCATATGTTCCAAGTGCTCAACTGAACTTTTATAGCTTAGTTTTCCCTTTGAACCAAGTTCGTGGGATCTCCACTCAGCATGG